AAAGTACTTATATTAGCTCTGCCTCTCTTCTTAGAGCACATAGGTTAAATGGGGAGACAGAGAAAGAGAATGAGAAAGAAACAGAATATACTGAGCTGAAAATTGGTGAGTTTCATGGTTGAAGCAGGTTGCTTTAGTCCTTATTTTCCTCTTGAAGTGTTTTCTGTATTAGCAATCAAGGAGTCACACACACACACACACACACACACACACACACACACACACATATTCTTCAAAGCTTTTTTATGGTTTATAGGAGAAAAATATCTGCTTGTTAAATTAGAAGATTTTATCTCTAATACCTTAGAAGACATTAAATTACAACAATTCACCAAGGATGCTAGCAATGGTTATATAAATGGTATGCTTCAGTTAATCAGTAGTACAGGTTGTCCTCAACTTACAATCATTCATTTAGTGACCATTTGAAATTATGACACTGAAAAAAAAACTTATGTCTGTTTTTCACACTCAACAATCACCGCAGCATCCCCACGGTCACATGATCAAAATTCCGAAGCTTGGCAACAGACTCATATTTATGACGGTTGCAGTGTCTTGGAGGTCATGGGATCCCCTTTTGTGACTTTCTGACAGGCAGAGTCAATGGGGAAGCCAGATTCACTTAACAACTGTGTTACTAACTTAACAGTTGCAGGGATTCACTAATTGTAATAAAGAAAGGTCGTAAAATGGGGCAAAATTCATTTAACAACTGTTTCACTTAGCAATAGAAATTTGGGGCTTAATTGTGGTTGTAAGTTGGGGACCACCTGTATTTATCAATATGTTGTTATTGGACTAAAAGGGAGCATCTGTGATTTTAATATATTCTGCTGGCTATTTTTTCTGTGTAATTCTTATATGTTGAATATTTTTCAATTTATTTCTAAATTTGTATTCAGTGAATAGTTTTTATTTGTTTGAATTATTTGTATTCAAAATATGCACATTATAGAAGTGGTAATCAATAAGCACAAATTATTATTTTTTAATTTAAGTCTGCTGCCTTGAGGCAGTGGATAGAAATAATGGTGTTTTTTTTTTATTAAAAGCTTAAGTTTCATCCTGTGGTAAGGGCTAACAACTGTTTTTAATAACATGGATATTTTTGTAGCATTATTGTTTGCACTTTCAGAGCTTGCTAACATTTGCAGAAATAAGGATTTTTTTTTAACTTTGCCCAAAAGAATATTAAAGTCAAAAATTTGTGATCCTAGTTACTGATAGGTAACATTAACAGACACTATTATTTAAACGCATACAGTTTGCTCATAGAGATAAAGCAGACAAGAAGCCTCTTGCACATATGAAGTCTCCACCTTAGTGTGGAAAAATAATTGTTTACCATTCTGTGGTCTCTGAAAAATTATTCCTTGCAGCTGGATTTAACTAAGTTAAATATCTCAGTGGGATTGCAACTGTTTTATTTGGACGCAGGATTGCTCTTCCACTGGGACCTTTTCTCTCTCCCATGACCCTTGTGTTGTTAGTTGCTGTTAAGTCAATGTCAACTCATCATGACCCAGTGAATGGCTGAACTGAACTGTGCTCAGTTTTAGATAGCTGATCCTTGTTAGGATGGCATCAGGGGCCACTGCTATTGTATCAACCCTTCACCCTGCTGGTCTTTCCCTTTCTTATTTTCTTTCAACCTCACTAAGCAGGAGATTTTTCTCTAATTCTCCATCTCTTTGCCTAAAGTGCCCATAACATGAAGCCTAGTCTTGTCATTTGAGTTTTAATGGAAAGTTTAGCTTTGATTTCCTCAATATTGACTGGTATGTTTATCAGGCAACCCCTGATATCTGGAGTATCCTTTGCCAAGTTTATTACTCAAAGATATGTGTGGGGGGGTGTTTCTCTTCATCTTGTGCCTCAATTGTTCAACTTGCACATCCATATTATGTTCTTGAAAATATAATGGTCGGAACAAATCAGATCTTGATACATGAATAATTTTTTCTGTACTTAAAAGAACCTGTTTAGGCCTTACACGGTCATTTTCCAACAGTAATTCATTATTTGGGTGCTTATAGTTTCATTACTTATCCAATTGTCAGCTATATCTATTTCCTCTCAGTCAAGGACAAAGTTACTGATATTACCAGTTGTTAGAAACTTTTTCCTCTTTCATTAAAGTACAGGCCTATTTTGAGACTCTGCTCTTTGATCTTGACAAGCAGATAGTTCAGAACATTTTCATACACAGCCAATAATTTGCTATCATAAGCACAATAACAACTTTCACTATGCATGATACTTATATCTTCTATATAAGCTATGAAATTCTATTTTTGGAGGTTGGGGATTCATTTAGAGCAGTCTACGAATGGGACTATTGCCCTTTTCCATTTGATGCTGTTGAAGTCGATGGCCACTTCTCATCTCTTTATTTTCATAAAAGTTTCAGTAGGGAAACCTGATTTTCATGCCATAGGTAGAAATTTGGTAGTCAAGGGATAGACTCCAGAGAACTCCTAGAGTAAAAAAATGAAAGCCAATGTTGACTTAAAAAGACAGGAGCAAGAGGCCCCACTATAGAGAAATTTCATGACAATGAGAACTATTACTCAGTAGAATGGCTTGCCTCTGAAAATTCTGGGTGCTTCATCACTGGAGATTTTGAAGAAGAGACTAGACAGCCATTTGTCCAGAATGGTATAGGACAGTGATGGCGAACCTTTTAGAGACCGAGTGCCCAAACTGCAACCCAAAACCCACTTATGTATCGTCGGGTGCCAGGTGGGCGTGGCCCATTGGGTGGGTGTGGCCCATTGGGTGGGCATGGCCCATTGGGTGGGCATGGCTGCAGTGGTAACAGCAGACTGGGTGGGACTAAAAAGTTTAATCAATCAATTACAACTTTGCGAGATCTTGAAATTGATCAATTGATTGAATCTTTTTTTTTTTGCACATGGCAGTGGAGGCCTAAAGCGAAAAGGTTTTATAAAACCCAGCTGAAGGCCTAGGACTGGGGTGATGGCGCACGTGCCCACAAAGAGAGCTCTGTGTGCCACCTGTGGCACGCGTGCCATAGGTTCGCCATCACGGGTATAGGATCTCCTGCTCAATCGAGGTTGGATTAGAAGACCTTCAAGATCCCTTCTAACTCTGTTATTCTGTATTCTGTTATATGTATTCTTTGTTAACCAAATTTTGAGTGGAATGTGAAGCTAAGAGAAAGTTTTACTAGTATGTCTAGAGCAGGGGTAGGCAACCTTGGTTCTTTTATGACTCGTGGACTTCAACTCCCAGAATTCCTGAGCCAGCATGGCTGGCTCAGGAATTCTGGGAGTTGAAGTCCACGAGTCATAAAAGAGCCAAGGTTGCCTACCCCTGGCCTAGAGGATGTTCTTCTGACTATGTGAATATACAGTATATTCATATATTGGATGTACTATAACTTAAAGTAACTTAAATAGTTACTTTTAATTAAACTTAAATATAGAATGCTGGGACCCATGGTTCCTATGAGAATGAAATTCACGGAGGTTGTAGCTGCTTCAGCATCATCACACCTTTCAACCATACTTCTCAGAATCCTATAGGTTGGGTGGCACAAGGGAAGGTGGGAGAGCCATTTCCTTTCCTGCCTCTCTCTGACCCCTGCATCCAATCAGATGGAGACTAAGTCTGACAGGCGAGTGGCTGCTTTGAAACTGAAATCTGAAATCTCTTAATGGAGGGGGGTGGCGAGGGAAAGATGGAGGGATTCAGATACCTGCTGGCAAGTTAGGGCTGGCTGGGGCGCACTAGTAGTGAGTGGGTGAACCCTCTTCCTCCCTGAGGGAGGGGGCTCTTGGGGTCATACCAGGATGAGGAACAGGGGGTAGAATTTTCCTTATGGTCTATGGCTCCCTTTGTTCCTCTTCTTCCCAGCAAAATGGCAGGCAGTTCCGCGGGTCAGCCAAAGAGGAGTGATTTCTGATGCTCCCTGCCAGCTTTCCACCAACACAGTCAGTGAGGAAGCTGGCAGGAAGTCATTCTGCTGTTCTGTTTAGTTAGGAAATATCTTTGAAATGATGACCCAATGGGTGACTGACTGTCTCTGTGTGTGTGTGTACCTCAGATTATAATTCTCATAGTAATATATGATACAACAAATTCTTACAAAGGCAACGGCCAATCAAATGTGAGTGTCTACAAGAGTGCTTTTTGTATTTTTGAATACAAAACATAGATGGTCTGGCATGAAAAATAATGTCTCCATGAGGAGAGAAGATGGATAGGACTATTGAAAAACTCCCAATAAATGAATATCTTGGCTTGTGGATCTCACATTCAAGCCCAACAACTGTCTTCCATATATATTGACCTACAGTCCCATAATTATGAACAAGGATTAGATGCTACGTGGATTGTTGTCTATTTCATCTAAAGAATACCAGGTCATCAGAGTCTGACTTAGACACATAGTCATGCAATAGGCAAATATGACAGTGGTGTACTTTGGACTTTAAAAGCTGCAAAAATAGTTTAATCATTAATTATCATGCTGTTAAAAGAAATCCTAATAGAGTGATGTGAATCATTACATTGTCAAAAAAATATTGCTTTTTTTTTTAAAAAAAAAATCAAGACGTACCTTCCAAAGAAATATGGCTTTCATTTGAATCAATTGTAAACCTTTTTTGTTCATATTTTTTCCCCTGTGGCAGAATTTTAATAGATAAAATGTTAGTAGAGTTAGTAGAGAAAATGTTAAGCTACTAGTACGTATCAAATATATGATAGCTTGCATTATTTCTCACATTGTTAAGTGTACCACATCACAATGTTTCCACATCATTGTATCATTGTGCAGCACTTACAGGTTTTTTTTTTAAACGGAATATAAGAATTTGAAAGAAAAATCTTGTTTTTAGTTGAAAATAAGAGATCTTAACAGCTTCACTTTGCTCTGACAATAAGTTTAAACATATTGTAGTTCAGTATTAATTGAATATCAAAATATATTTCTAAGTCTTTTCCTTTCTTTTTTCTCCTTCTCCTTGCAGGGGCTTTGGAAAACAAGGGTTTCAATGCCAAGGTAAGATACAAATGGTTTTATAATGGTTTCTATTTCTGTTTTAATAATCAAATCTAGGTAATGTATGAACCATATCTCAAGAAGGAATTAAGCATGTTAAAAGGAGGATATTAAATTATCTAAGAGGATGTGTATTGTTTAATCATTTATCTCATGAACTGTGAATCATGCACACTTTCATTTCAGCAGAGTTTCCTAAAATTAAATGTCATGTAATCTGCATATAGAGAACTCTTTAATTTTTCATGAAAAGAATCTTTGTGGTTTATTTTGGTAGAGAACATTTTTCTTGTCGGGAGCTGCTGTCTCTGTGTGGGTGTTTTGAAAAGTGGTTTCACTCTCTGTTGGGTTTCCTTTAATACTCCCTTCTACCTTTTCCCTCAGTTACTAATCGGCATGAGTTTTATATTCAGCTGGACCTTTGGTCATTGATTTATAGTTTGTTTATTTTGTGGCACAGTGTAAGAGAAAACAAACTATTTCAAAGCAGTGTCGGTTGCTTGCAGTGAAGTCTTTTAAATCTTGGGATGGAGAAGAAATCCGTTTCTGTAAACTGCATTATTAACGTATTAAGTCATAATATGTACTCAACAAAGGTGAAGCATATGCTTTGAAAATGAATAGAAAAACTAACGTGCCACACATCAGACTTAAAAAATCATCTACTACAGTATGATCTATGCCAGATCTCAGTAGCCCTCAAAGGACTTGGACAGAAGACTTATTCAGCTATTTCATTTTCTCTTGCCTGGGGATTTTATGGATTGAAACTAGAAATTTCTGCCTTTGAAATATGTGCCTTGGCCTCTTTCCTGATGCCTGTAACTTTATCATGGATATCCTTTCCCCGAGATGGCGATGGAGCATTAATGTACTATTAATATCGCTAAGCAATATTCTTCCTGTTTATAGTTTAATATTGTTATTGAATGTTGATTGTATAAGTTAGTGTTTTACCATGGTAACCATTTGTATTAGCTAGATGAATGAAGAAGCATTTAGTCGAATAATTTCATCCTGTCAGAGAGCAACTGATGGTAACAGCTGAAGATTGCTACATGATACCTATAAGATTTTTTTTTAAAGCCTTTGCCCTGTAGTTGTCTGATCTGATTATCGACTTGATAAACGCTGTTGGCATGAACCTTTGCAGGGGTCATGACCACCACACCACAAAAACTATATTTAACGGTTGTGAAATTTGAGCCACGAGATCTGATTTTAGAGAGATACTGAAAAGGAAAAGGACATTAAATTACAGTCTCTTACAGCTAATAGCTAGCAATATATTGTTGAATCTTGTCACACTAACAAAAGAGATGGTTTTCCTTGTATTAAATGTTCAAAAGGTAGAGAAATGTGGTGCCACTTTGTGAGAACCGGAATGTTCCCAGTTCAAATAGTTCCTTTGTTGCCTTAAATAACCTCCTGATCATGTTACCATCTCCAAGAAGGAGATTCAGAGAGTCCTTGACTTAACAACCATTCCTTTAGTGACTGTCCAAAGTTACAATGGCCCTGAAAAAGTGACTTATGAGTCACGTATAAGTTTTCACACTTACGTCCATTGCAGCATCTCCGTGGTCATGTAATCAAAATTCATTTAGTGACCATTCAAAGTTACAGCAGTGCGGAAAAAAGGGACTCATGAATTTTTTTCAAACTTATGATCGTTGCAGCATCCCCAGGGTCACGTGATCCCCTTTTGTGACTTTCTGACAAGCAAAGTCAATAGGAAAGCCAGATTCGCTTAATAACATGTCACTAATTTAGAAACTGCAGTGATTCACTTAACTGTGGCAAGAAAGCTTGTAAAATGGGGCAAAATTCATTTAACAATTGTCTTGCTTAGCAACAAAAATTTTGGGCTCAATTGTGGTCGTAAATCGAGGACTACTATACATTTTCTTTGGAGCAGTTTGTCAGAATTGGTATGAATTCGTTCCAAGTGCTATACTAGTGCTAGGTTTTACACTGTACTGTTCCGAGTACAGATATTCATGGTCCATTAGAAAGCTAATGGTATACAGTAGTTCAGCTGTTGAATTAGGATCAGGAAGATCCAAGTTTTGATCCATCCCTAACCATGGAGATTCACTGGTTCCCTTTGGGCTAGGTACACTTTCTCAGTTCAATGTTATTACTAGGAAAAAAATATGTGTATGTGCTTGTGTGCACTTGAGCACTTGAATGAAATGTGGAATATACATTTAATCAAATAAATAAAATGATTTCCAAGAGAAGGTTCTTCAGTACAAACTTTCTAATGAAAGCATGCAGTTGGGCATGTCTGTTTATTTCTCCATTGTCATGCACTTCAGTTCAGTCACTTTGAACCTTTGGATTGTAAATATTAAATTTGTAAATATGGCCTTTAAACTCTGGTGGCATCTGATCTCAAACACAGAAAACAACTCCATTGGAGCCTGTGCTTCAGGAAGCGATTGGCAAAATATAAGCAATGCAGACATCCGGCATGAATTCCAAGCTACTATAGGGATTTATTTTCTTTATACTTGCTCCTTTGCCTGCTCCTAATAGTGCTGCATTAACTTCTTTGAATTAGGCTGGGATTTTTTCTGAGACTGCCAGATGTGTTGCAGAATTTGCAAAAGTTTAGGTCAATTTGGTCAACAGCTATGATCAATTAATTTGAGGTTGTATTCTTGTGAACGGACTGACAACAAATGCTCTAATTTTGCATCTCACAATGTTTCTTCTTTTTTTTTTTTTCCTACAACACAGTCCTTTTTCTGGAACAGTTTTTGACAATCTTGTGTTTCTTTTTTTTCTTTTTTTTTGATAGCTTGGGCTTTAATTCCCCTAATCCTCTTAGCATGTTTGGCATTGAAGATATCTGGAGGGCCCTAAGTAGAAAAATGGTGCTAGAGGCTGTAGTAGTAGCTTTCTGAACTTGGATAACCAGTTAAGGAAATACTTAATTTAATTACACAACTGGCAATTGACTAAATTGCCCTGGCAATTGGTTACCTCCTTCAGTGATCTACAATTGAAATACAAACATGCTGTCAATCTCACATTTATGTGTGAACTTTCAAATGTTTTATTTTCAATATATAACCTACTCTTGCATGAATTATTTTATTGATACCACTGACAAATTTGGGGATGTGGGCACAAGTAGTTTAAAATGTTGGCGATTTGATTTATGTCATGTATTATTTTTTACATATACTTAACTAATGTGCACTGCGGAAGGGAACAGAGTCATTATAGGTGATTTGTGTATTTAGTTAGAAGGAATGTTATGGCTGTCTTGGCTTGGAATCTAAATTATCATAAACAAAACTCTGTTAATGGGATATTTCCTTTGCAAGTAGAGAAGAGTGGGCTATTTATGAATATTGTTCCTGTATTGTTAGAGGATCTTCAGAAAAGGATTTTGTGCTCTAACAGCCATGTTGTGAATTTAAGGAATCTTTCATTTATAAAATGGCAACAAGGATCCAGACTCTTCAGTGTAATTTCCCCCCTAAACTGTGCCATTTCTTGCTATATTTAGGCAGCTCCAAGAGATTTCCAAGCAAAAGTAAATATTTTCAAATGAAAATCCTATTTATTAAAATCACACCAGCTATTTAAAGTGCACAAGTTAAAACAAATTCAGTAGTGATTATGTGGCACTGACTGTTAATGAAAGAGAGAGAAAAAAAGGGGGGAAGGAACTATGTGGCCTGATAAACAGAGAAATTAAATTGAATGCATGGGAAATTGTCCAGCTATCATATCCTTCTCAGTCCTACTTTGCTTTTAGCTGAAAAACTACTGGTTTTCATTACAGCGCTGTTATAATGTAATAGTTACTGACAAGTTTTTTCCTAGTTGTCAAACTGTCCAGAAGGTTTCCTTCTTGGAAACATACGTAGACTTGCAGCTGTAGCGAAGGCAGTGTGAGATGGTAAGATGAGGTCAGTGTGAGGTGATATTACTTGAAATAGCAACAAGCAGGAGATAGTTGACTTATAAAACCAAGCATATCAAACATTTATCCAGCACTTTACAGCGTCCAAAGCATTTCAGTTATATCATTTCTGTAACCTTTACAGCAATTAGGTATGTTGTTAAAAATTTCCATAGTACTTGAACACTAGAATGGACAAGCTAGCATTTCTAAAATGTTTGGGACTACAAGCCCAGGCAGTGCATTGTGGGAATTGTAGTCCAATACATTTGGAAGACGTACATGTTGCTGATTCCTATGGCGGTGCCTTTGTAATTTGTAAATGTAAAAATGCCTTGGGTAGAAGGGTAATCAATCGGTTTTTCCCACAGAAAATATAATTTTGTTACTGTACTTTGCGACTCAGGGCAGAGAAAAAAATGATTTGAAGATATTTTTTGGAAATGGAATTTTAAGTACAGTTTTCATGTTCCCTAATAATTCTGTAAACATTGTGAGAAATTTAGAAATAGGTGATAAATAATTAAGAGTTATTGAAGCTGTGGATAATCTTAGCCCTCTCCTTGATCCAGAGAGGAATCCCAAGGAGCTGATCCACTCACCGGCTCCTCTTTTCATCACAGCCATTGAATCTGCTCTTGCATCTTCAATCTGCCTCTATTGCCCAGAAGTCCCAATAATATGCTCCGTTTGTCAATGATTTTCCTCATAATGACTTAAGAAATAAATACCTGCTTTGGTGTTACAGAATATGATCAAATCATTATTCTCAAGTTTTAAATAAAATTTAATCTTTAAAAGAATCAGTAATTTTTCTTTAAAAAAATATAATTCTGAAAAAGGACGACTTGTGTATTTTCTCTGAAACAGTAGTTCAATAACATTTACCTAATGGCGATTTAAGTAATGAAAATTACATCTTTCCCGGGAGAGGTTTAAATCAAATCTGTGCGATGGCTATGTAATTTTCCTTGCTTATTTTGAGATCTTTTGTCCAGTAAGACTTCTGTTATTTGGCTGATTAAGGCAGCGTTGTTTTCTGTCTCAACTTCTATTTGGAAAAGGAAGACGGTAAAAG